CTGTCTATGGTATAAAATAGGTCACTGGCTGAGAGGTGGTGGCTCATGCTATAATCCCAGCACCTTGGAAGGCTGACAGGGTAGATCACTTGAGCCCAGGAGTTGGAGACCAGCCTGCGGCAACATGGGCCAAAATCCTATTTCTACAAAAAAAAAAAAAAAAAAAAATTAGCTGGACATGGTGGGCACATGCCTATAGTTTCCAGCTAACCAGGAGGTTGAGGCAGGAGGATTCACTTGAGCCAGGGGGTCAAGGCTGGAGTGAGCCATGATCATACACTGCACTCCAGTCTGGGCTTGACAGAGTGAGACGCCTGCCTCCAAAATAAATAAATAAAATAATGTAGGTCACTAGGTCCACTTGAGGTAAATCAAAGTATCCCCCAAACACAGACATTTATTATATTTCAGCCTACGGTTGTGGCTTCCAATGTTCCCAACATGAGTATTTTCAACACTGGAACTCATTTCTTCCACAGAATGAGAAAGAAGAAAGATACTAGTAACGCATTCTAGTCACCACTGACTAAGAGTTCAGGGCAGGGGGTGGGAGGTAAATACTCTTTGTCACACACTTTCTCATTTACACAAAAGAGGAAGAGTGTGTTCGAAAGCCTAGGAGCTGCTGGAAACAGGCCCTAGGATATTTCTTTGGTTTTCGTAACCCCCGCTGTGCTGTCACCCGGCATTCTAGGTAACGCTTCCGTACTTGTGTCATGCTCAGTTCCTCTGTCTTGTTGAGCAACAGAGATGTCTGTGGCTCATTCCGAACGAGATGCAAAGAAACTGAATCTGAACTATTTCTCTCATATACCTACTCCGAAGTGTCTCTACACCTTCGATTCGGGAATTGTGTTTTTGGGTGAAATGGAGCTGATAAGTAAACAAGAGCCAGTTTCTTGAAAAGATTAAGACAAAAGTAAAAGAAAACAAATATATGCCCCACCTCCCAGTCCCACTCCTACTTCTCACCCCTCAGTCACTCCACCCCAGCCCCTCTGGCCTCCAGTGCACCACCCACCCTTCTGCCTCAGATCCTGCGCACCTGCTGTTCCTTGGCGTGAAATGCTTTTCCCCAAGGGCGCCTTCTGTTTGCTCAAATGTCTTTCTTTTTTGTTTTGTTTGTTTGTTGACACAGTCTGGCTTTGTTATCAAAGCCAGAGTGCAATAGCATGATCTCGACTCACTGTAACCTCCACCTCCTGGGTTCAAGTGATTCTCCTGCCTCAGCCTCCTGAGTAACTGGGATTACAGGCATGTGCCACCATACCCGGCTAATTTTTGTGTTTTTAGTAGAGATGGAGTTTCACCATATTGACCAGGCTGGTCTCGAACTCCTGTCCTCAACTGATCTGCCCGCCTCAGCCTCCCAAAGTGCTGGGATTACAGGTGTGAGCCACTGCGCCCAGCCTTCAAATGTGTCTTTCTAAGTAAATTCTAGCTCCAGGGTTTAAAATTGCAGTCCCACTCCCAGCACACTCCCTTTCCCTCCTCTCTGTGTTTTTTTTTTTTTTTTTTTTTTCCCAGTAGCAATTATCAGCCTCTAAAATACTATATAATTTGACTCAGTTATTTTTCTTGTTTATTGTCTGTCTCCATGCCCCTGCATCCATTAGAAATAGAATCATCATGAGGGCAGGGATTTTCACCTGTATTTTTACTGCTTTATCCCCAGCACCTCGAAAGTGCCTGCTTCAAAAGAAATAATTGTTGGATGAACAAATAGATGAGGATGAAGAAGCCCAGTTTGCTTTAAAATTGCCACCCATTTGACATCATCCCTTCTTTCTAAACCAGCTAAGAAGCTACATCTTCCATGAGAAAAGGCAATCAAAAGATGGGAGGAGCTAAAATCCCCAAGTAAATCCTTTGGGACACCAGAGGAATGTGTGGATGATGGTGAGTGCACAGAGGGTGTTACGGCCTGAATGTGTATGTGCCCTCCCCAAACTCACATGTTGGAGCCCTAACCCCCAATGTGGCTTTATTTGGAACTAAGACCTTTAAGGACAAAATTAAGGGTAAAAGAGTTCATAAGAGTGGGGCCCTGATCCAATAGTGTCCTTATAAGAAGAGACAACAGAGAGTTCACTCTCTCTCTCTGTGCACACTCAGAGAAAGGCCTCGTGAGGAGGCAGGTAGATGGCAGCCGTCTCCAAGCCAGAAAGAGAGCCCTCATCAGAAACCAAAATTGGCCAGAATTTGATCTGGAATGTCCCCGGCTCCAGAAGGATGAGAAAATAAATAAATGTCAGTTGTTTAAGCCACCCAGTCTAGGGTATTTTGTTACAGCAGCCTGAGCAGATGAATACAGAAGGCCAGGAAAGAGTCCTGAACTCGGGCATACAGGTATCAAGATAAACTTTGCCATCCTGAACACTTGGTTCAGGCTCTGATAGCAGCAACCACGCTTATCTGCTGAAGATCCTGTCCAGCCATCTGACACATGGTCATGCAGGCCACAAATGCCAGCGCAACATGGGGATGAGAAGAAAGTACCCATAAATGGAAAGACTGGTCACATGGCAACACTTTTATAGATATTGATGTAGATATAGATAGTATGTGTTTCCCAGACTAGTGTACAGATGATGTATATTTATATAACATCCGGTATAGCTAGTACTAGAATTTTTCCTCAGTAAATCTTTGCTTTCAACAGTAAATTCAGCCTGAGACGCTAGCAACTTAGGTGCCACAAATTTAGATTATCCGCAGAGGGCCAATTCTGAAACCTGGGGGATGAGGGCATTCAGCCAGCAAAACCACAGTTCTAAGCACATGTGAGGGTCTAATCTGCCCTGCCATTGTCACACGGCTCTGGAGCTCTGGATCTCATGACCCCAAATGTTAAGAATCAATGGCTTACAGCTGCAGAAAACCTCTCACGCGTTCTACCCTGCACGCTCACCGCCTCCAGGCCTTCTTCCCGGCTCAGAGACAAAAGGTTTTCTTCCCAGCATGGCAAAGGAGAAAGAACAGCATTGGCAGCAAACTTGAATCCTATTACAGAATGCTCCCGGGTCTGTGTCATGGTGAGCCCTGCGTTAAATATGCAGACCTCTGCATGAAGCTGGCAGGGGGCAGGGGAGATGTGAGGGATGAGGCCGGCAGGCAGATGAATGGAGACTCTGACCTGCACCCAACTCCTTTAATCAGGAGCAAAAGAAATGATCAGAATTATTTCTTCACCCACCAGCTGATGGAGGAGACCACCAGGACTGCTGAATAACTACATCTGCAGAGCTATTTTCCAAAGACGAGCTCAAGCCCTTGAGGGTGGGACTGCCATGATGCCGGCCTTGGGCCAGACATGGAGACACTTTTACCTAGAACCATCTTTATTCAAAAGCTTCAGGCCCCAGGTTCTCTCAGCTGTCTCACCCGTCCCACCCTAAAACTGGGGCAGTCGGGACCTCACTCCCTTTGGGTTAGTAAAAACACTTCATCTATTTTAAGTGCTGACTGTCATCTAAAAGTCAAGATCCTGTGAAGAAGGAAGAAGTGAAGGATACATGTATTTACAGTGGAACCTTCTCTATGTTCACATAAATAAACTCGTATATTTGTACATGTTTATGGGAGCACAGAGAATGATGTGGAAGGATCTACATCAAGCAGCAAATGTTGGTTACCTGAAGGGACAGAATTGAGGAAACAAATGGGGAGATAGTGCATTTTTTCAATACTTCGTTATGGGTTAGCTGCCTTTATCTGTCATTTCTATGCCATGACTCCTAAATCAATCTCCCAAACTAGAATTTTTCTCCAGAACTTTCAATGCAACATCAGAAACAGAGCCGCCCTGCCCACATACTTCCTGTGTCTTTGAAGAGCTCCATACTGTTCTTAGTCTCAGAAACCCCATCTCTAACTCAGCTTTCTCTTTTCCTGTCCGATGCCTCCCTCCCCTGCTCCCACCCCGCCTTAGCCGCTCTGCCTGCTGTCCCCAGCCATCCTAGCTCGGGTCCTAACTACATGATTTCTGCCTAGATTGTTGCAGGATGGTCTCTGAAACCATGCCACCCCACACTCCAGTTTCCCCACTTCCTTTAACTTTTAACTTTTTTTTTTTTTTTTGAGACGGAGTCTCGCTCTGTCGCCCAGGCTGGAGTGCAGTGGCCGGATCTCAGCTCACCGCAAGCTCCGCCTCCCGGGTTCACGCCATTCTCCTGCCTCAGCCTCCCGAGTAGCTGGGACCACAGGCGCCCGTCACCGCACCCGGCTAGTTTTTTGTATTTTTAGTAGAGACGGGGTTTCACCGTGTTAGCCAGGATGGTCTCGATCTCCTGACCTCGTGATCCGCCCACCTCGGCCTCCCAAAGTGCTGGGATTACAGGCTTGAGCCACCGCGCCCGGCCGAGTTTCCCCACTTCCTATGGCTCTTCCAATGCCTCTAAAGTAAAGCTTTGATCTGTTCAACCACTCACCTGTTTTAAAATCCTTAAATCTCCACAAGGCCTGCCAAATAAACTCCACTCCACACTCACGCTGGTATTTAAAGGCCCTCACTTTATAGATTTCAGCTTCATCTCTACGGCTCCCCTGCACCCATCTGCACACCAGCCAGCTCAAAGCTCACCCTTAGGAAGATAAGCGCAATGATTTTCTACCAGCATGCCTTTGCTCATTCTTGGAGCAAAGAATCCTTCGCCCTATCTCTGACTACAGAAATTCTATCCATCCTTCAAAGTTCATGTTAAATGCCTTTATTCGCTAACTAAACGTGCTTTATGCCTTCTCCAAGTGACCATAGCACTTGTTAGGTCTTGGTGGGGTCTCGGGTTACTCTATACTGCTATAGTCATTTCTGAACGTCTCTTGTCCACTCTTCTCATCAAAACCTTACTGGAAGAGACTAACCTAATCTTCTATAGATCCCTTGATTACCTAATAGTGCTTGCATGCCTAGCAGTATTATACAGGCTAGATACTATACTAACATTTGTGACCTAGGTCGGCGTTGACCCATAGCTGCAGAAAAATTAAAATAAAAAAAAGGAACTAACATTTCTTGAATGACCACTGTATTCCAGGGAATGAACTAAGTATTTTATGTGTTTATTTCATTTTAACTAAATGTAAGCTTTATGCAGTTATAAACAAAAATAATCTGAATATGCCAGATTAAATTATACTAGAAACTCTTATAAAACAATATCATCAGCTGACATTTCTGTACATCTACTTATCATGATAAGCATTGTTTAAAAATAATCATCATCAGGCAGTGAAAAATTATAAAGTGCATGTTTTCAAAGAAAGTTGGTTTGATTTCTATGGTCTCTTAACGATGATATAATGCTGTAATATCATATTATATGCAAGGTACTTTACGGTTGGATATATTTTACAAAATTCTATGCCACATCATTAAATTAATACTATTAAACATATTATTCAATCTGAAATGCTATTTTCTGATTGTACTGGTTACTAGCATATACATAATTTCTTATTACTCCAACATTGTGATACCGAGAAAACCATATTTACTTGAAGAGGAATACTTATAAGTCTAAACATACAAGGAAAATAGCACCAGAAACAAGTAACTCTTACATTAAAATTTTGGAGCTGTTCTGGACTTATCTTTATTCTATAAAAAGAAAATAAACTGTTTTCAGCTGAAAATTCCCCTGCCACACGGATTTACATATGTATAACATTCCCTTACAGTGCCATATAGCCCCCTTCCAAACTTTAATACTTAAACTTTTTGGGTTTATTTTTCCCCCACCATATACAGTCCCCTGAAATAACAAAAGTTTATTTTAAGGTTTTAGAGATAAATTAAAATCAGAAAAGATTATCTCAAATAAAGACATATAACTTACCCACAAAGAAGTCAGAGATGGCCAAGTTAAGAAAAAAATAACTACTTCGATGTCTAAGGTTTTTGTCCACTACAAAAGCTAAAATGACCACAGCATTTCCTAGCATTATGGCAAAAGCTAGTAAGGACATAAAAAACGCTAAAGTAATACGAATGCTTAGTGATAAGTTAATTGTGCTGTTAGTATCTGGCATCACATCAAATGATGAAGAAGGTCAAATTAGCAAATTAATCCAGCCAGACAATTCTGACAAGTATGTTTCTAATCGGATACCTAAAATATGTAGTCTTCTACTCAAAACGACAGTTTTAATCTAATACTGATCTCATAGAACTTCCTGATTCTTGATAAAGTAAGCTTGTGGTAACAGTTTCCCTTTAACTGACACTGAAAAACTATTTCCAAAAACCAGTGAAATGTTTTACCTTAAACATTTTACTGTCATTCATCCATCTCCCATTATTAGAATAAAATTATATAATCTATAAAATGTAATCATCATATAGGTAATAAATTGGGTCCACACAAGGTTCATTTTTGTCATTGTTGTTGTTGTTTGGAGATGGAGTCTTGCTCTGTTGTCCAGGTTGGAGGCCACTGGTGTGATCTCGGCTCATTGCAACCTCCGTCTCCCAGGTTCAGGCAATTCTCCTGCCTCAGCCTCCCAAGTAGCTGGGATTACAGGCACTCATCACCATGCCCAGCTAATTTTTATATTTCTTGTAGAGACGGGGTTTCACCATGTTGACCAGGCTGGTCTTGAACCCATGACCTAAAGTGATCCACCCACCTCGGCCTCCCAAAGTGCTGGGATTATAGGCATGAGCCACCACACCCAGCCATTTTTAAAACTCATGTAGATTCAGTTAAATATTCTCATCTGGCCATGATGGAGTAATTGGGGCTGAATTTCATGGTCCCATCTGAAACAGCCAAAAAATTAGACGATGGTTTTCAAGGTACTTGTCATTAACAAGGAAGGACAGTGATCCCTGAGGGAAGGCATGAGGCCTGCAGTTGCCCCAGCTTACTGCCTTGAGAGTTCCCAGGGCATGAGCAGAGGGGAAATCCAGGCAGAGCCCAGGAGACTCCCTGGAATGAGGAAATGGAGCCGAGAGTACAGGAGTACCAGAGAGGGTCTGAACTGCAAAGCCGCACTGAGCAGAACTCCAGAGATCTGCAGAGGACCCCCTTCAAGTATTCACCAGAGTGCTGATTAGCACAATGTGGAGGAACCGCTTTTAGGCAAGAAAAAGAACCACTCGAAAATATTACAGGCAATAGTACCCAATGCTCACAGAGGACTGGTTATAGTGCCTGCTCTTATTACCCAAATGGAAAAAGTTCCTAATTCATGGGACGTTGGGTAGTATACTCAGAAGGGTCTTGCCTCAGCAGTTAGGAATAATTAGCCCTATACTAAATATTTCTTGGGTTCTTCCTAGCAAATCTGAAAAGCAAAACCTGAAAGTTTGAAACTATTTCCAAGTAGCTTATTTGCAACCCTGAACACAGCTCAAGAATATTTATATAACATAAAAATATCCAGTACCCAACAATGTAAAACTTACAATGTCTTAAATCCAATTAAAAATTATCTGACATGCCAAGAAGAAGGAAAATGTGATCCATAATAAGGGGAAAAACATCAATCAATTGAAGTCAACTCAGAAATGACACAGATATTAGAATTAACAGACAAGAACATTAAAATAGTCAGATGGAATATGGAAAAAGGAAAATGGAATATAGCTGTATTCCATGTTTTCAAAAAGATATGTAAAGATATAGAAGATTTTTAAATCAAACATCTAGAAATAGAAACTAGAATGTCTGGACTAAACATACATTGGAAAGGATTCATGGCAGAATTGCAGAAGATAAGATTAGCGAACTTAAACATGTAATGATATAATCCATCTACAATGAAACACAGAGATAAAAGAGATTTTTTTTAAAATTAACAGTGTATCACTAAGCTAGAAGACAACTTAAGTGACCTAATATATGTCTAATAGGAGTCCCAGAAGGAAAGGAGAAAGGAAACGACAGAAAAAAATTTGAAGCATCAGTGGTTAAAACCTTTCAAAATGGGATGAGAACTGTAAACCAAGAAACTCAATGAATCCCAAACACAAGAAACAGAAAGAAAACTACAGAAAGCATATCAAATAAAATTGATCAAAACCAGTGTGAAAAAGAAAAGTTTAAGAACAGCAGGGGTTGAGGGAGGACACATAACATAAAATAAGAAAGGTATGGGTGTCAGCATGTTTCTTATCAGAAGCAACAGAAGCAGAAAAACAGTGGCTGCAATATCTCTCTAGTGTTGAAAGAAAAAAAAACTCAACCTAGAATTCAATATTTAGCAAAAAAAAAAAAGTTTCAAAAACAAAGACAAAATAAAGGGTTTTTAGATATATGAGAGCCGAAATAATTCACCATCAGCAAACTTGCTCTACAAGAAATGTTAAAGGAAGTTCTTCAAGCAGAAGGAAAATGATGCCAAATGCAAAAATGACTCTATGAAAAGGAAGGAAGAGTAACAGAAATGGAGATTTTCTTGCTGGCCCTCCTAATAGAACCTAAGTTGCTACAGGGCAGAGAATGCACTTTGTTTCATTTTGTTTTGTTTCTTTTTTGTTTAAGTATGTGCATAAATCATAAATTGATAACTGATTAATGTTTACAAGTTGAGCATAACCATGTAACTACCACCCATACCCTTTTCCAATTACTTAGCCCTCATGGGTAAGCATTATCTGGACATTTAAAAACATAAGTTAATTTTGCACACTTTTATTTTATAAATGTAATTGTACATTCAAAAATTATATAAAATATTTCTTCATGTATATTCATTCTACATGATCCACAATTGATTAAATTATTTAAAAATCTTTACATTCTGCTCTATTATAATTTATTAATGCCATTTGCTTGTAAATTGATTAAAATGAAGATAAAAAGTAATTAATTGTTGTATTAGTCTGTTTTTATACTGCTATAAAGACATATCCAAGACTGGATAATTTATAAAGAAAAGAGGTTTAATTGACCCCCAGTTTCGCATGGCAGGGAGGCCTCAGGAAACTACAATCATGGTAGAAGGGAAAGCAGGCATGTCTTACATGGCAGCAGACAAGAGACAGCACGTGAGCACACAGTATGGGTATGGGGGAGCTGCCCCCATAATCCAATTACTTCCCTCCCTCGACACATGAGGATTACAATTCAAGATGAGATTTGGGTGGGGACATAGCCAAACCATATTAATTACATTTTCCCTTTCTTAATAATTTCACTGGGGGAAAAAAAACTATTCTTTCTCATGTGCCAATCATAACCTGAGCCAGAAGCTCCTTTACTGGATAATTCCAACTAATATGTATTCATTAGATATCCACTTCAAAAGCAAGACCAGAACCAGATTTTTTTAAAAGGCAAATACCTGAGTTCAGAACCTACATCTTTTTCCGTTTAAAATTCACTGCCAGAAAGATGCAGTTTCCCACAGGAGAAAGACTCTGAGGAAGCAAGGGGGAAACTGAGATTCTCCCAACCCCTCCCATTCCCCTACCTCAGACATGAGAGAAACAGAATTTTGGAAAACTTTTTTTTTCTTTTTTGAGACACAGGCTCATTCTGTCACCCAGACTGGGGTGTGCAGTGGCACAATCTCAGCTCACTGCAACCTCCACCTCCCGGGTTCAAGCGATTCTCCTGCCTCAGCCTCCTGAGTAGCTGGGATTACAGGTGTGTGTCACCACGCCCGGATAATTTTTGTATTTTTTGGTAGAGACAGGGTTTCACTGTGTTGGCCAGGCTGGTCTCAAATTCCTGGCCTCAATTGATCTGCCTGCCTCAGCCTCTCAAAGTGTTGTGCTGGGATTACAGGTGTGAGCCACAATGCCCAGCCAATTTCTACCTTTTTAACTGATCTAAACTGAAGATTAGTTAGATCTTAGTAAAGTGAACTGATGGCACTCAGTTCACTGCTCACATAGGCAATGACATGCAAAATAACATTGTATTCAATGGACTTATATTTATCACTTTCAAAGTCATGGGTTAATAGGACATTGAAATGGATAACTAAAATACCTGTTTAAGAAGGTGGGCATAACAAAGAATCAAATGGCTAGTCTATAAGCCTGCAGCTTTGTGTTTTGCAACTGAAGGTGAGGGGAACTAAAGATGAAGTTCCATTAGGTAAATAATTATATCTGTTGGTAGAATTAGGGAGAAAGAGATAAAGAATGAAACAAGTATTTGCATATGATCTTCCCTACTTCACCTCTATTTTCCTTTTCAACAATGGATCTGGTAGTCCTTGCAACCAGGGCTACCATTAAGAATCCCAAAATCCACATCAGGCATGGTGGCTCATGCCTGTAATCCCAGCACGTTGTGAGGCCAAGGCAGGCGGATCACGAGGTCAGGAGATTGAGACCATCCTGGCTAACATGGTGAAACTCCATCTCTACTAAAAATACAAAATTAGCCAGGCATGGTGGCATGCACCTGTAATCCCAGCTACTTGGGAGGCTGAGGCAGGAGAACCGCTTGAACCCGGGAGGCGGAGGTTGCAGTGAGCTGAGATTGCACTACTGCACTCCAGCCTGGGTGACATAGCGAGACTCCATTTCAAAAAAAAAAAAAAAAAGAATCCCAAAATCGTATAATATTCCAAAACAAGGTCATATATATATATGTGTGTGTGTATATGTATATATATGTGTGTGTATATATATATAAATTTGAACCTAAATGCAAAAATTCCAAAGAGGTTGATGGCATGGATTATCTGTTCCCTGCACTTTGCCAGGGTGGGGCTGACTATGCAAATGTTTTGTTTCTTTGTGGAAGGACAGTATCCTTTCTTCGTATGTATCCAGTGTGATCCCCTACTCTTGGGAATGACCCCAAAAGGAAACCCTGGAATATCTCATTTTGCTACCAAAAATATGGGCTAGTCCAGTGACAACAAGTGGGACCTGCTTTACGGGGAAAGGTTTGGATTTAAATTAATGATACAAGGAAGAAAGGTGAAATTGTTGCTGAGGGAAGGGTAGTTAATAAGTGGATATTACAAAAGGGAAAATCTAATATAATTTTGGTGCCTTGAGAGACTCTCAGAGCAAAAGAATAATATTCTCTTTTAACTTCCACCCAGTGCCCCTTGCAGTATTCAGTTTTCCAAAACCTCTTTCTGAAGAGTCAAGAAGTAAGCAGTACAGTAGCCAACTCAATGAATGTAACACACACTTCTGAGAGTGGTCTTCGTCCGCAAAATGGATGAGCAGATAGCAGCTCTGACTATAACTATCTGGAACAATACAAATATGGCTATGTACTTTCGTTTCCATTTCACAGGATAGAGCTATGGTCGAAAACCTGAATTGGGAAGCAAACTACGAAATACGTATCCAGTTGAATCTGGAAAACACTGATTACCACTAGTCTAAATGAACATTGTGCAACCATTGATTGTGATAATGAAAGTTTAAAGAAGGTACTGGGATATGATGGAAGACGTTCATCTTCAGCATATCCCATCTGTCAAAACATTATGTACAAAAATAGC